TTAGTTTCTTATTGTGGCTTCAATTAATCTCTGAGCTGACCCAATTTACATTCTAGCAAGCCATACTCAATCAAGGTTTAAGACAACTGTTTGTAAAAAGAGGCAGCTGGGTGACTTAGCGGATAAAGCACAACTCCTGGTGTCAGGAAAACTCATCTGCTTCAGTTCAAATTTGGCCTTACTACCTGTGTGACCCTGGGCAAGTCACTTAACCCTATTTGCCTCAGTTTCCTCATCTTTAAAATGAGCTAGAGAAGGAAATGTCAAACCACTCCAGTATCCCTGAAAACCCAAAATGTGGTCGTGAAGAGTCAGACACAACTGAAAACAACTGAAAAATATATAAAAAACACAGACTTTGTCTCAGACACATTCACATTGCCCAGCAATTGCCCATCATTAAGAATGTAAGACGTAAGGGAGGCAGAACCAAGGTGGCAGAGTAAAGCCTGAGACTCGCCTGACCTCTCCCCCAAACTCTTTCAAATACCTTTAAAAATGACTCTAAACAAATTCTACAGTGGTGAAACCCACAAAAAGATGGAGTGAAACACATTTCCAGACATAGACAACTTGGCAGGTCTTCATGATAGGTCTGTTGCACTAGGGTGAGAGAGGAGCACAGTCCAGCTAAAACTGTACCAGCACAGACCCAGTACCAGCAAAGTCAGAACAGGCCGTGGGATGATTGAATCACTGAAAGTGGTGGCGGTTTCCAGACCTTTCAGCCCACAGATATCAAAGACAACTTAGAAGTCAGTAGGTAAGGTCTGTCCCACCTCGGTGAGAATGGAGCACAGGCCAGCACAGGCCACACCAGCACAGCCCTGGCCCCAGCAAACCAGGAGCAGACTTTAGGAGACACTGAATCAGTAGAGGCTGGTTCCAGAGCTCTCAGCCAACAGACAGCAAGGGGGTCAAACAACTGGTCAGAAGGAGATTATAGGGATCATTTCACTAGCATTGAGGTACAACTCCATTGCTTTTCCCATACTCAGATCTGGCTTGTGTCCTAGGTGGCAGTCCCAGGGTAAAGAGTAGCACTAGTATACCAGAGCTTGCTGCCACAGTAGAAGAGGGAACCTTCCTCACAGTTCCAGGGCAGAAAAGAGTGCTTTGTGGCCACTCACAGACCACAGCACAGTCCAGGAGACTAGTAAACACCTCTTTTTAGATGATACTAGCTTGGAAGAACTGAAAATTTATAGATCCCTAGAAGTATCTCTGAAAACAGCTGCACAAAAACCCTGAAGCTTAGGACAGTGTGCCCTCTACCCTGGAAGCAGAGCACTACTTTAACAAAGAATTTAAAGTCAAGTAATAGACTGGGAAAATGAGCAAAAAAAAAAAGGGGAAAAAAACCTCTGGTTACTGAAAGTTACTATATTGACAAGGGAGATCAAAACACATACTCAGAAGAAGATAACAAAGTCAAAGCTCCTATGTCCAAAGCCTCCAAAAAAATATGAATCGGGGCCATGGAAGAGCTCAAAAAGAATTTTGAAAATCAAGTAAGAGAGGTAGAGGAAAAATTGGGAAAAGAAATGAACGTGATGCAAAAAAATCATGAAAAAATGAGTCAACAGTTTGGTAAAGGAGACATCACAAAAATACTGAAGAAAATAACACCTTAAAAAACAGACTAGGCTAAATGGTAAAAGAAGTCCAAAAAGAAAATAAGGAGCAGAATGCCTTAAAAAAGCAGAATTAGCCAAATGGAAAAAGAAGTCCAAAAGCTCATTGAAGAAAATGCTTCCTTAAAAATTAGTGTGGAGCAAATGGAAGCTAATGACTTTATGAAAAATCAAGTAACAATAAAACAAAACCAAAAGAATGAAAAAATAGAAGACAATGTGAAATGTCTCATTAGAAAACAACTGACCTGGAAAATAGACCCAGGAGAGATAATTTAAAAATTATTGGCCTACCTAAAAGCTATGAACAACAACAAAAAAAGAGCCCAGATGTCATCTTTCATGAAATTACCAAGGGAAACTGCCCTGATATTCTAGAGCCAGAGGGTAAAATAGAAATCAAAAGAATCCACCTATCACCTCCTGAAAGAGATGGCAAAAGGAAAACTCCTAGGAATATTATAGCCAAATTCCAGAGCTCCCAGGTCAAGAAGAAAATATTGTGGAGCCACAGTCAAGATTTAGCAGCTTCTACATTAATAGATTGGAGGGCTTGGAATATGACATTTTAGAGGGCAAAGGAGCTAGGACTATAACCAAAAATTATCTACCTAGCAAAACTGAGTATAATCCTTCAGGGGAAAAATGAATATTCAATGAAATAGAGGACTTTCAAGCATTCTGGATGACAAGACCAGAAATGAATAGAAAATTTGACTTTCCAACATAAGACTCAAGCACAGAAAGGTAAACAGAAAAGGAAAATCATAAGGGACTTAATAAGGTTATTTTTATTAACCTTTTTAACTTTTATAATTGGAAGTTGATAGGTATGGGTTTAATATGAAGGGATATCTAAAAAATAAAATTAAGAGGTGAGGGAGGAATGTACTGTGAGAAAGAGAAGGGGTAGGTAGAATGGGCTAAATTATTTCACTTAAAAGAGGCAAAAAAAGCTTTTACACTGGAGGGAAAGAGGGGGGAGGTAAGGAGGAGTGAGTGAACCTTACTCTCATTAGAATTGGCTCAAAGAAGAAATAACATACACACTCAATTGGGTACAGAAATCTATCTTACCCTAAAGGAAAACAGGAGAAGAAGGAAAGAGAAGGGGGGTGATAGAAAAGAGGGCAGACTGGGGGAGGTGGTTGTCAGAAGCAAAACTCTTTTTGGGAGGGATAGAGTTAAATGAGAGAGAATAGAATAAATTGTGGGGGAAGGGAATTTGATAGAGGGAAATGCTGTTAGCAATAGTAACTATGAAAAAAAAAAATTGAAGCAAATTTCCCTGATAAAGGCCTCATTTCTCAAACATACAGAGAACTGAGTCAAATTTATAAAAATAAGAGTCATTCCCCAATAGATAACTGATATTAAAAGTATTCAGTTTTCAAATGAAGTAATCAAAGCTATCTAGAGACACATGAAAAATACTCTAATTTACTATTGATTGGAGAAATGAAAATTAAAACAATTCTGAGGTATTACCTCAGGTATTAGATTTGCTAATAGGACAGAAAAGATAAATGGCAAATATTGGAGGGGATGTGGGGAAAAATGAGACATTAATGCACTGTTGGTGCAGTTATGAACTGATTCAACCATTCTGTAGAGCAATTTGGAACTATGCCCAAAGGGCTATAAAACCATGCATACCGTTTGACCTAGCAATACCACTACTAATCTTTATCCCAAAAGAGATAAAAAACAAAAAGGAGAAGTACCTATATGTACAAAAAATATTTATAGCAGTTCTTTTCTGGGAGCAAAGAATTAGAAATAGAGGGGATGCCTATCAAGTGAGGAATGGTCAAACAAATTGTAGCGTGTGATTGTGATGGAATATTGTTGTGCTATAAGAAATGATGAAGAAGCTCTTAGAAAACCCTAGAAAGACTTACGTGACCTGATGCAAAGTGAAATGTACTGTGTACAAAGTAACATCAATATTGTAAGATGAGCAGCTGTGAATGACTCTCAGAAATACAATGACCCAAGACAACTCTGAACGACTTAGAATGAAAAATGCTATCTTCCCCAGAGAAAGAACGTATGGTGTCAGAATACAGATTGAAATATACTTTTTGGGTTTTTTTTCCTTTTTTGTTTTTGAATTTTTTATCTTTTTTTCTTTTACAACATGACTATTATGGAAATGTTTTGCATGACTACATATGTAAAATGTATGTTGAATTGCTTGTCTTCTCAACGTGGGGGATGGGGAGAGAATATGGAACTCAAGGTTTGAAAATGAATGTTAAAAATTATTTGTACATGTAATTGGGGAAAATAAAATACTACTAAAAAGAATGTGATATTATAGAATTTTGAAAATCATAAGACAGTGTTAGTGGACATAACAAGCAAAATTCCCCAGCCCTGCTGTGCCCCTGACCCTCACCTTTAAAATATGAAGTGGGGAAAATATGTGGATTTATCTCTAAGTGGGGTATCAGGTGTCTTTTTACTACATGAACAAAAAATAAATCAAGGTATCAGAAAGCAGAGGCATAAAAATATTTTCATATATTTTAAGAAAACATGAAATACGTACCACTACCAAAAGACAAACTTCATATTTTGTATTTGAGATTTTCCAGTACAAGTCTATTCTGTCCCCAGAAAATACAAACAGTTCTTGGTCACTAAACCACAGCATCAGACTGCACAGCACAACATGGAGCAGAGACCTGATAAGTCTATTACATAATTTAACTCAAATAATTCAGACTCCTTATATCTGTTTTCTTAGGTCAGTTTTTCATTTGTTTTTCAGTTTGTCTGACTCTTCCTGACTTCATTTTTTTTTTTCTTGACAGAGACACTGGAGTAGTTTGCCATTTTCTTCTCTATTTAACTCATTTTACAGAGTAGGAAACTAAGCCAAATAGGGTGAAGTGACTTGCCCAGAGTCACACAGTTAGTAAATATCTGAGGCCAGATTTGAAATCAAGAAGAGAAATCTTTCTGATTCTAGGCCCAGGTAGATATTTACTGTGTTAATGATGACTAAATCGAGATGTATTTGGATCTCACTATCTATCTATCCATCACATCCATCCACCTATCTAAAATATCAATATTTAACAATCGATTTTTAGATTTTCTTTCATATCACCATATAATATGCCTAATATGAGGATAGGGTAAATAGTATTTTGACCACAATACACACAAAGGAAGAACTGCAAATAATGTTCCAAAGCTTATGCTGAGTAAGTGAAAAAAAAATGTAACCATAAATGTCTCGGATTTCAAACCCAGAATTGTAGGCATTGGCCCATTCAACTTCTATGCTAAACACTTACATATGATACACAATTCTCCACTATTATCAACTGACTGACAAAAGAAATAAGTCATTACCTTTCCCACATACTGAGGTTCCGAGCCCATGTACTCTTCCAGGACAAAAAATTGATTCCAAACCCAGCCACGTTTAACACGTTGGGCAGGTGATTGCCTTCCTGGCATGATGAAAACATTTTTTCTTGACTCTGTGGCTAAAGTCTGTTGTGGCTGTGACTGCAGTGGTGTTAGGAGACCCCCATCAAACAGGACCCAGAGAAGCAGGGATAAGCAGTTCCTTGTAAGCATTGGCAAAAGCTTCCCTCCAGCAAAGTAATAAAAACTCCAGTACTTAGTGTAGAATTGTAGAATCCAGGTTTGAGGTGTCTGTGGCCTCCACCACTTAGCTTCTGATTTTATTGAGGAAATGGTAATGCAGGCATTAATCCTTCTGATGATAAGGTTTTTGCTGTGTTAAATTCCATCTAAAGGGACCTATAAAAGAGATTTACATGGCAACATCAAATTATGCAAAATTACATTAAAAAGCTCATCAAAACTCTTATCATATTTACCCACTTACATGGTAACCCAAAGGAAAGACACAGCACAGTACTTAAAAGCTCTCTTTGTTTCAGAGACTTGGTAAAGACCATTGTAATGAAAGCCGCCAAAATGAATGGTTTCAACCAGGATGTTTTTAAATTCAGTGATTATAAATCCTGTGAAAAGTACAAGTTATCATGTACTTGCGCTATGAGCAGAAATAGCCTTTAAAAAAAGCATGAAATAGTAAACTCTGGCAGATATTCTAGTCTCTCTGTGTGCAAATTCTCAGTTTGTATGTGTGTCAGATTTTCCTCCATATAGAAACATGCATTCTGTAGATTATATGGTTTCTGGTATGTTTTTTTTTTAATGAAGAAATACTCAATGTTTACTCAGGAAATATGAAAAATAAAGGATAACGCAGGGTGACATAGTTCAATGCATATCTACATATCTATGTCTCTATCATCTATTCTCTAGCTTCTTTCATCTACCTCTTTATTATGCTCATCAATTTATCTTATCTCTATCATATCTATCTCTGTCTATCAACTCTATCTCTCTGTTGTCAATCTATCTTCTACCTATTTATCTACTTATTTCAGAATATGAGATTACATCGATCAGTATTGGGAGCTCCAAGGTAATAAAACTCTACAAGTAATGCATATTGGCAATTTATTGGCAATTTATATTTTAGAGAAGAAATTTTAATTTCTTTAGTATTTTGATCACTATTTCAATTCATTTTCTTCATAATACTATGTATTTTTTTTAATTTAAAAGAATTACTGCCAAAGAGGTCTATGACATAAAATAAAAAACGTTTAAGAGCCCCTGATTTACAAAATTGCCTTGGGGCCAGAAGTGAGGTGACTGGCCTTGGGTGACAAGACAGTATGTGTCAAAGACAGGAACTGAACACAAGTCATCCTGACTAGGGAGGCTCTTTAAGTACTGTCACACTTATTTTCAGTTGAATATAAAAAAAATCTTTTAATTTTAATAAAATGATCAAGGTCATCCCCCATTTCTGCCATTCATTGTTTAAGCCAGGTTTAAGACTGAATTTGATATGGTAAACTAGAGAGAACAATCTATTTAATTATATGTACAGCTACCACTTCATTGGAAAAATGTTATTATCCTTTTTTTTTTCCTGGCAGCCCCAGATACTTCAGGATTTTGTAATTAAAATAGTCATGTTTTCATTGAGAAGATAATCATCAGGAAGTACTATCAATGCTCAAAATAATTTAGTGGTTTTTAAAATTTTTTAAGTATAAGGAAGGCAGAGAACAAAAATCAGATGATAATCTCAATCCCCAAATTTCTCATTAACATCTCTTAATTCCTAATATACACAGAGTCCTATATATTCTGTTTTCTTTTCTATCTCCCAGATCAAAACTTGTTTCAGAAAAAAAAAGGATGATAAACTCAATATATAAGGAGGAGAAGACTGAGGAGACTGAAAAGAGGCTCATCTCTGATGGAACACAGAATTCGCATGACACAGATGGTGTTGTACATTGCATACCTATAATGACACTTACCATTCTTTATCTGTTAGAAACATATTACAAGAAATAGAAAGGAGATATAATTTTTTTAAAGATTAAAATACAATGAAAATAAAGCTCAGAAATACACATTGGCACTTTTTTTCTGTATCAAAGAACACTTTTGATCCAATAACAAAACAGGATAACAGACACGGATTTGTTAGGAAATTGTTAATTTTGCCTTCTGAGTTGCTATTGCTAAGATATCAAAATATAAGTGAAAATATAGGGTTTTTTTATTGAAAATCCATTTCCTGAACCAACAATTCGCACATAGTTGATGTAGAAAATCTCAGATAAGGTTCAGTATTTTCAATCATCAGGTTGTGGCTAAGAACAGGACATTTCAGTCTAGTCATGGGGTAGCACACCTGAGGACCATGTAACATACAAATGTATCATCTGCTTTGCAGAGCCACATGAGTGTTTTCATATACTTAATGAAGACTGTATTGTACTTTTCCTTCCATCAATTTTTCAGGTTAAAATGTAATTGACATTGACACCCTACAGATTGCCATTTATTGAATTTTCTAATTCTTATTCCTCCTCACCCTCAGACTTCCCTACCCATAACTCTAATCTTTTCAAACAGACACACATGGTAGAAGATAACCACATTGATGAGTAAGGCTGAGGGAAGAAGATAAGATTCCCTAGAGTCTCTTAAAAGGATATTTTATGCTTAGTTAGATGTGAAACTAGTTTTTATTGGAAGAGGATGAGTGAGAGAGACAGGAGAGAAGACAGATAGACACGCATATACGTACACATACTTCTAAAGCAGTGAGTTCCCTATCACTGGAGGTCTTCAAGCAAAGGCTAGATGACAACTTGTAAGAATGATATAAGGTACATTTCTGCTTGGGAATAGGTTGGACCAGATGGATTCTGAAGTCCCTTTCTATCTTTATTACATGACACAGTGGATAGAGCACAGGGCCTGCGGTTAAGTAGTTCTGAGTTCAAATCCAGCCTCAGAGGCTTCCAAGCTGTGTGACCCTGGGCAAGTCACTTAACTTCTGTTTCCCTCAGTTTCCTCAACTGTAAAATTGGGATAAATATTACAGCACCTGTCTCTCAGGGCTGTTGTAAGGATCAAATAAAATAATATTTTTAAAGTGTTTAGCATAGTTCCTGACACATAGTAGTCATTACATAAATGTTTATTCCATTCCTTTTACATCCCAGCATCTACAACATATTTGGTATTTAATAAATGTCTCTGGAATGGGATCACAGTGGATTGAACTGTGAGTGTAGTGAAAGAGAACAGCCTAAAATCAACTGAGTCAACTTTGTGTTCAACTGGTTAGCATTCCCTGAATTAGATAACTGACTCACTCATTCATTCAATTAAAAACCTACATCTCCTCATCTCTCCCAGGCTGGAAGTAAAGGGTCTACTCAGAAACTCTATCTCAATATTGATTGGCATAGAAGCTTTCACTTTCTTCATTTCTGACTGGTACCAGTTCATCCCTCCTTATGCTATCTGGTGGCATTGTGCTCTTAGGGGGTTACTACTACAATGATGAACTTAGTGAGGTCACCTGATCAGTATGGCCCACTGAACCTCCAAAATCATGTACTCAAGAGATCTAGCAATCTCAGCCAACCTATTTGATAGCTGGGGTTACAGGTATGTACCATCATGCCTGGCTTTAAATTAATAAAATAAATTAATCTAGTTCCTAATTATTCAGAACCAGGATGTGCTGATGTCATCACATATGAGCAATGATATAAGTACTCTCTGATCCTCCTTCCATTAGTCATACTATGCTCATGATTACTGAATTCAGCTGTGATCAATTTTCCATACCTGTGACAAAAGAACCTGATGGCAATTCTGGGATCAGAGACATCCTAGGTAAGCATACATATGTTTCTGCAGCCCATTTTGTATAGTTACTATTTTAACTTTTTTTGTTAATTTGATGCCTACATCATGTGGTTATACTTAATTAACTAAATAATTGAATTATAAGAATATCAGTAGCCCATATCTTTTGTCTGTAGATCACCGTACATAATACTGGAAAAGAAACACACACACATATACACACACATAAACACACACACACACACACACACACACTCCTTCATCTATGTAATCTGAGCACATATTTTTTAAGAGCTCCCTAGCCAACATCATTGCACCATGATCCTAAAATCCATTCCATGTTAACAGTAAAACTGCAGGCCCTTACTGAAGAGATATTACTGTCAGTGCATTATGACTCTCCCAGCAGATCACAGCCTCCGGCCACAGCTGTCAGCCAGGGAGCTTTTAAAGTGTTATATCGCAACAAAAATGATGCAACGAGATTGGAGGACTCTAGCTCTTAAGCGAAAGGGAAACAACTCCCTTCTGGCCAGCAACAGAGTAAAAAACTGTGTTTCACATACACACTCACATCCTACCACCATCCTCCATTGTGCACAGGTGTCAGCACCAATAGCACTGATGTAGAAACATTAATAGCAGATTTATTTTGAGGTGCAAGACCCCATGGAAACATTTATCCTCTAAAGATGTCCTTGTTACAAGGTTCAACTCTAGCAGTGCCTCATATTGGAAGACAGAAGCACTGTGGTCAAATATTGATTTCTGATGAATAGTCTTTCACTCTTACGGAGCCAAAGTGGCATTCCAAAGACATTCCAATACTAACATTAACCCTCTGGAGCCAAAAATTCCTTTCAATAAAGGAGAGCTTAAAAAAAAAATCAACAAATCAAGAGGGCAAATTCATAGTGAATAACTCATTAACAAAAATACTCCCCCATTCAACTGATCTCCAAGTCCAGATAACAAAAAGGCAAGATTTATTTAAATATTTTATGTATATGTGTGTATGTATATGTATGTATGCATGTATGTATGTATGTATGTGTATCTATATATAATATATATTTCCTTTTAAAAATGATTCCAATATATTTATATGCTGTTGGAATTTAGAAAGCTTTCTTTGCCCAAAATGAACAAATTCTAGAAGGACAGGTTTTATCAAGTTCTAAAAACTCAGAGCATGGGCCTGGTCCTATGTTTGGACAGTCTCTGTGCTAAGCTATTGTGACCAGGGGGTGTTTTATTTATTTTTTTAAACATAAAACTCTTTGAAGTCAAATACTAAGAGTAGGGGTACTCATATAACTGAAATTATGAGCCTTTTAAAGTGTCATAAGTGTGGCTATTTGCTTAGCTTGTGCTTTCAGATGGGGAGGTCAAAAATACACGACACCATGCCTGACGTCAAAGAATGTGTAGTTTAATTGATGTTTAGGATACAGAAGGGAAAATACACACAGTCACATACATACCTGCCAACATTAAAAATTCTATTTGTAATTCTAGAGGGGATTAATTCTATA